GTCTGAACTGGATTAAACCCCCAGTTCAGCAGGTCAGGGAACTCTGGAGGATCAACAGTTCTGAGTAAAATGGATTTTAGTAATATTGTTCAGCTTAAAACCAACACAAAAGTTGTATTAATGTATCCAGTAGTGGCAAAAGGGAATTTGTACCTAAAGGCCTGATCTACATCTTGTATCAGATACATTTTTGGAACAAAAATATTAACTGAAAGTCAGTTTATGGAATTTATCTGTCTGCTCATGGTTGTGTGGCCCCTGTTCCTTTAACACCTGCAAATCTCGCTATCTTTTGCAATAGAAATTTTTAGTGATTGTGAGTGATTGGGAGGGTTTCATATTTGCAATCTGGACATGTATTTTAGTCATCACAGTAGTGTTGCTTATGTTGGCAAACAAAAGAGATACAGTTACAGAGTAATAAAGACTTGTCCCTGGTAGATTAAAAATTAGAAATCAGATAACCAGAATAACACAAACATGACGTGTATCATAAGAGTTAATATTACTAATATGCACACTGTTGAGAGATAAGATGTTTCAGGTAGAAATTCTAGGAGTATTTGTCATAGATGGCTTTAAAATTTAATTGGACAGCACAAATGTTCAGAGAGGTAATGCTCAGAAAAGATCTTGGAAAGCAGCTAAAACCTAATGCTTCAAATTTAAACCACTGGCTAACTGTTGAGCACTAGTGGCAGTCTTTCCAAGATACTGTTTTTAGTACTAAAGTTTCTCTGCAATTTCTTTTTAAGAAGCTTGTAATGGGCAGAAAATTAAAGCTGGCATCCAGTTGAAACAAGCCTTCACATGAATGGAGAAATTTCCATTAATTCCATAGCAATATTGTTTAATATTTTCATGTTAGAAGTAGACAGGATTTGGTTTATGATCCATCCTTCAAGGTTATGTTTGCATTTTGTCCCAATCATCAAACATTTTACTTAATTGAGTCCGTAGCCTGTAGAATGTAATCTCAGCTACGTGTGGGCACAATGGCCACACTAACACTTGCTCTGAATTCCTGCTGCAAAGCAGCATTGTATGTGGAGAAGCTTGGCTGTGATGGTAAGCCTGGAGGAGCAGCTCAGCTAGGAGGACAACTGTGAGCTGCACATTCAGGTGAGCAGGAAAATGTCTCTCAATGTCCATGAGATACTTCTAAGCACACCTTTGTAATTCATTCTCTATTTTGTTTCTCTTTTTACAGCTTCTTGTTTTCTTCCCTCTCTTCCAATGTGTTTGTTAGCCCCTGCCCAGTCTCTTGGAAACATGTTCTTCATATAGGCCCTGCTCTCTCACATGCTGCATTGAGTCCTCTGTCAGATGTTCTCCCTGTTCTACCAGCATGAACAGCTCTGGGACAATTTAAATAAATTAGTAATGAAGGCAAATCCTTGATATGAAGTTATCTACAGCCTATCACCCCTTTTACTTGTGAATCTTCGTAGAAAACATCTGCTCTTGCACATCATTTTGCAAAATACTCTTACGAATAACAAGGACTTTGGGGTTAGCTCCATGGTGACCCAGGAGAACCCACTCTCCTCAAAGTAGGTACTGAAAATGAAGTCTTCCCACTTCGGTGAAAGCATTGATTCGTAACTGTAGGGGGAGATGAAGTGGAGCAGAGGGAGTCCTTTTTTCTCACCTCCTAGCTTTGGGTCTCTCTCTTGCCACACCGCCAAAATCCCCATGAAGGGCAGAAGTTTGGGCTTTTCTCCCAGTCTGAGCAACAAAGACCCTCTAGCCAAGGCTAGCCTTATGTTGCAGGAGCAATGCAGTGGAAGCACTGCTGTTGGTTGTGTTTTGTGTCCCTTGGACCATCATGCATAGAGCCAGCATGGGAAGTGCAGCCTGGTCATACACCATGTGCAGGGAATGGGTCATTAGGAGCATGCTCAGGGGGAGGTGTATGGCCCATAAACACTGAACTGTCCTTGTGAAGCTTGATTCATCCTAAAGGAGATCTCGCAGAGCTAAAGTGTCAGTTACTTCTCATAGTACAGGAATAAAAATTTTTGAATTTCTCTTAAAAACAAACAAAAATCCAGCAAAACATACTGCTGCTGGCCTCCATCAAACACACAGCCCAACAACACCCCCTTGACGAGAGCTCTCAGGCCACTTCCATTGACTACATGCACCTGCCACCGTAGCCCTCCAGCTCCAAAAGCTGTGTAGTGACAAACCTCCCCATGACATGGTCACCCAGCTCTCCATTCCACAAACTCACCTGAACTCCAGAGCCTGCTCTCCCCAGCAGCCACTTTGCAAAGCACCAATTCTTCACCTTTAGCACAACTATTGAGTATCTCTTGCTAACTCGTTTCCATTTCATATGGTCAAATCAAAAGGGGAGGAATGGGAGACACACAAATGAGCAGAATCCAGAAGTCTGAATTAGTTTTATACCTATTTCAATGCAGACTACATTAGCATTGCTTTCATCATGTCAGCATGTTAGCAGACTTGAGCAAACCTGCTAGTCTTCCCTATTAAAGAGTCCATAGATTCAGAGAAAAATCTCTTAGAAGTCCCATTAAGCTTCATAGTCTGGACAGTGGAAGGACAGCTAAACTTCCCTGGGTGTCAGGCCAGCATTACAATCATGGTCTATAGTCTACCCTGTTGCTCAGATCCTGAACATCGTTACATGGAGAACCAAGTTTAGGATTGTTGATGTTAAATCTGTCCACTGGACACTGGACTCTGCCTATGAATAACTTTTTGAGCCCACATAAAGAAGATGGGTTATGAAATCTGGGGAATGAGACTTGACCAAGGCTTTCTCTCATCCTCAGCCTCACTCTTCAGTACATGGTATGCAGAAACTGGATGAGCTTAGGTTTGGGGCCAAGCAGAAAGTATCACCCAGATAGACCTAATAGATAAGGATTACCTGAATAGCTTCTCAGAGCTTTGTTTGAATTTGCAGAGCTAGTGCTTAAACACTTTAGAGTCATCAGACAAGCAAACACAGATGTTTCAGACACAGAAAAGCTTTGTATCATTTCATCCTCCCAAGGCAGGTTTTCTTTACCATTGCTAAGTACAAAACTATTTTCAGACTGTGTTAATCCTCCAGTGAATTAAATATGAGAAAGATTTTAAACATGATGGCAATAGATTGTTAATCAAGAAGTGCTGTCTTCAATATAATGGTTCACTGTGTGCTACTAAGAGAGGAGATGGCTGATATATTAATAAAAAAAAAAGTGTTTTTTTGTTGTTGTTTTTAATTTTCATACACTCCCTACTTTTCTGACAGCTAGTTATTTATTTTGTATTTTCCAATATTCTAAATAATAATAATAATGGAGGAAAGCAAGGACCTTCCTTCTGTTTTTTTCTAGCCATCTCTAAGGTAGCACAGGACACAGCTGGGTGAGAATAATTAACTGTAGAAATACAAGATTAAGAATGCCTGGGAAAGCAACAGTTCTTCAGAAAAGGAGCTTGATTGATAACTGATTGAACCTAAATAAATGTCATCTCATTTCAACAGCAATAAAAAAGTGGGTACTTGGTGTGTCATTGTGCTTTAGGTACAGTTCATCCTGCCAGAGAAGAAGACTCTGTAGACAGCCTCACCAAGTTCCAGTAAAGAGACAGTTAATTGGTACTCACAGAGCAAGAGATTGTATACTCATACAAACACAAAAAAAAATACTGATTGTGTGATTTCTGATTCTTTGCCATTTATGCCACCAATCTTTTCTTTGCATCCATATTACTCTCATGGTCACATCATTCTGGGACAAGGTCTAGACAAAACTGCACAACACTACAAACACTACCAATACCAAAACAGCATTTCTTTCTCCTAGAGCTGCCAAAGCCACTGGGAGTCAGACTTCATAATGCGGTGGTTCTGTTGGCATGTGCCAGCAAAGATGAGCCTGGGATTTCTGTGTCTCTTTCTGGTTTGGAACACAGGTAAGGACGTGGTTTGGTGCTCCGCAGGGAATCACCAAGATATCTCTTTTCCAGTTGTTCCCATAGCCTGAAGTATTTCCCCATTCCCATATCCATAGCAGACTTGGTTCTGTATTCTTTCTCCCTCCGTAGGCAAGACTGATGGGCTGGGGCTCCAGGACTGGTGCCATACAGCAGGACAAGGCAGGTGATGGCAAAGGTTTATTCGTGACTTATGAGCCATGAATATGGAGTCAGAAGGTTTTATAGAGAAAGACAAAGAAGACTTAGAAGACTTCTTACCAGCTAGATTGACAGTCTAAATAAATTTGTCTCATAAGTCTCATAAATTTGGCTCATCTGATTAGCACCATATCAGGAGGCGTGACTTACAGTCCTTGTAACATCGATTATCCACAGGTTGTTTTTCTTTTTTATGCATTCATACATAAAGAAGGAATGATAAGAAGTGTATCATGAGATTCCATCCTGCAGAAGGCATGAATTTTTGAAAAAATTAGGACAAGCATCCAAGTTTCACCAATTTGGGTAAAAATGACCAGATTATGTAGTCTCAACAACCCTTTCTTCTGCTGTTTCCAGTCCTCCAGCTTTACTCTTGCTGAAGAGGAAACTGACCCCAAGTCTCCTACCCTCTGGTGACAGCTCTGCCCATTAGTCTATAACGCAGAGAGGGGCATCACCAGCTTCACCAGGCGAGCCCCCCTCAGCACCAGATTTCAGGAGAGGACTTCTCTCTGGTGATCTTGGATGGACTGAGATACTGAAGATTCAGAGAGATGTGAGAGCTTAGTGTTAGCAAGTGCTGGCTCATTTGAGGAGCCTTCTGGATTACCCTTTGGGGGCTCTCAAATCTCCAGTGGTGGGACAGGGAGCTTAAGTACAAAAGTCCTGCTATTCAACCTGTCCTGCGATGGCTAAATCACTGCTTTGTATCATCTCTTTGTTGGTCACTGAAGTGAGTCCAAACTCCTGAGCCCCACCCCAGTCTGTTTCCCTAGATCACAGTCTCTTTAGAGTGGCCCTCAGTTGAACACCTGCTCTGAATTACAAACATGCACGCAGCCTACGTAGATCCCTTTTGGTTAAGCTTCATTACGTACATTGCAATGTATTGCTTGCAAGTCCAGTTTCAGACTGCAAAAACAGTATTTTGTTTTGATTTTTGAGTTAAAGGGACAAGCTCTGATATTTAATCTGTTCTCCTCCTTTAGCTGGCAGCTAAGGGACCTGACAGATTTTTTGGGACATCCTTATTCTTAGGCAACTGATCAGCTGCTGTTACACATATTCAGTGTCCTGCTTTGCAGTGCTTATGTCCATGGGTGCCTGGGTTATAATGAATAACAGCAGCAAAGTAATGTTTATGGAGAGCTCAATTGAGGGCCACTTGCTAGCACAACGGGGAAAACAGTTCCTCAAGTCTCTTTCTTCACTTCACAGCTTCATGCATAAGAAGAGAACATAAGAGAGAGAAGCAAGCGGCGGTGCTGGCTACTGCAGGTAACAAGCAACCCCTGAGGATTCCCCTCGAGCCTGTGTGTGGGTGTTAATGGGGTGGGAGATATTGTACCAAGCGGGGAGGTGTTGGCGGGTGGGCCTTTCTCCTGTGGAGTCTGTGAATACAAAGCCACCACTACTGCATGGGCTCCTAACCCCAACACAGGCAGCTCCTCAGGACTATGAAAATCCCTGCTTAATCCATTTTAACCTCTGTCCTTCCAGCAATGTGAGGTGGAGTTGTCTCTTTCTTCTTCCCATGGTCTGTAGGACAGGGCTGTCATCTCCAGTCTCATTTGCCTTAACACACTCAGTTTGGAACAGGTTAAAAACGATACTGATGTCATTAGAAAATCATATTTCTCCACAAATTTGATTTTGTTCTCGTCCTGGCTTTCTGTGCTTCTTTTTCCATCCTGCTCTGTTTTTTCTCTCTCTGCCATGCAGACACAGACCTTCCTCCTTGCACACACAGAGGCACCACAGCACTCTACGTTTATATGACTTCATGGGAGGGAGGCAAAATATCATATTTGAAAGTTCAGCTTGGGAAAAACAGACAAGCAACATCAACAGGAAGAAAATGTCTTTTTAAATAAAAAATGTGTTTCAGCTGCAGTCAGTTGAATCTATGGTAGTGGTGTAGCCATCAAGGTAGCTGGAAAAAAAATATATATATATCTGTGTTTTCATCACCGTTCTATATTGCACTGGGGATTTCCCAGGTACTTTTACCTCCATTTGTGATCTGCACAGAGAGACCCGCTTTTATTTCTGAAGAAAATGCACATTGGCCATCACGAGGGGGCACCAAAACGCAAGGACTGGTTGCTGCTCCTGGCAGCCTGCTCCAGGGCATGCTCAAGGGAGCAGGGGACACAGAGCCCTGCCTGAATTTTGGCCTGCTATTGCACTGCCTGCTCTATCTTGTTATTTTCCCAACTTCTCTCTGCACTCCCGGAATATTCCTTTCCTAACCACAGTTTCTTTCCGTGTGCCTCAATACATAAACCGCTTATTTCATTTTCCCGTTCTGGAAGCTTTCTGCTGTACACAATCAGGGGATTAGCAGCCATTTCCAGCTGCTCAGAGACCCTTTCTTTTCCAGAGCTGCCTGCAAAGTCTGTGGATCTGGCTGCTCTTAACCTGACCGAGCTGGTGAACGGCATGCTGAGCACGGCACTCAGAGGTAATGCTGCAGAGGCTGGGCAGGTCACGCAGGCAGTCAGCCCCACGGTGAATGAGATAAAGGGCTGATGGTGTTAGCAGGGGAAGTCATAAATGCATGCTCTCTGCCTCCAGAATTAACTCTCAGAGCAAGCTACACTTGCATATTTATAATGCAGATAGCTGTCTACCCCAAAAGAATTTAGAAATTAGAGTGTTTATATATAGGCATAGCATAATTACTTATGGGATGCCTTTAGAAAGCACTGTATAACCCAGTGCGGATTTGCCTGCCTGACTTAAAAAAAAAAAAAAAATGTAATACCAATGATCCTTCCCCCAGTGGAAATGAAAAGGAATTGAGTCTCAGGCAGCTGTAGAGCATCAGCACCTCAGGAGTCTTTTAGAAACCAAATGAGCAGAGCCGAAACATTCTGTTCGCATAATTTGTTCCAAATGCTAATAGCATGGGCATGTATTTCTGCAGGTACCAAAAAACTCTTCTCTTTGCTGAGTGTCACGTCTTACAGCTCGTTTGCCTTCCACAAAGTGTCAGTCACCGTTTATAACAGTGAGTGCCTCAGCGCTTTGCTCCGCACAGGAGCGGTTCCTCTCACGTGGCACGTGCATCAAGATACCCATTTTCTCCTTCTCTCTCCACAGTTTCTAGCCTGAAAAATGTTGACCCTGGCAAGTTTCCTATGCATTACTGCTACTGTTTAAACAATGTGACAAATGACTTGGCAGGTAGGTACACAAAAGAGGTTGGCAATTGAATGTGCTTAAGGTAAATTATTTCCTTAGGAGCTGAAGGCTGCAGCCTGAGCTCTGCAGGCTTTTTATTTTTGTACAAATAGCATCACCATACTGAAGTCAGCAGCCATTACTCATAATGAGTGTTGCTATGAACCTCTGGGGAAACTTGATGAAAATCTCAGGTGGTTGCACCCAACCGGCCACTCTGCGATGGAGCCATCAGTCAAGTGAGCAGTGTGGCTTGCCTGGTGGAAGGACCTTGCTTTCCTTCTCTGAGTACAAAAAGCAGTGCAGGACAGACAACTTAGCATTTTTTAATACATTATCTTGGCCACTTTCGCTCTCCTGAGTTGACTCACAGAAGACAAACAAGGGTTTCTTTATACCAACAGAATCCAGTAACCTCAATAAGCCAAACAGGAGTGAAAAGTAAGGATTAATGCCTGCATAGAGCTGTTTAATTAAGTGTCAAATGCTATTGACCCTTCAACAGAGAAACAGTGAGTTTTGTGGTTATTTTTCTGGGCACACACAGCTCACAAGCCTTGTAGCATAATGACCCAGTCTGCACTGGAAGACGGTGCAGACACTTAAATCTTCCTGTCCCAAATCCAAAATATGATTGTTAGAGCACCCTCCCAGGCAGTGGAAATTGTGGGCCCAACACAGGTTGCAAGAGCTAGTGTCTGTCACTCCCTAAATTAGAATGTTGACCTGTTACTGCTAGAACCTGTTAGTTTAAAAATAAATAAATAAATAAATAAATAAATAAATAAATAAAAACTCCACCACTAACCATTTTTTGAGCTAACAGTATCTGTTTTTCTGAAGCAGACTTCAGAGTAGATGGACAATCACATGTCCCCACATGGTCCCATGTGGCAGATAGGCAATCACTGCCACAGAGCCTACAGGCTTGGGCTCTTCTTCTATATTTAAGCAGCCTTAATAGAGTGTTACTTTAAATAGCTCTCTTGAACAGATAGATTCTATTTAAGTTTTCATTTACGTACATTGGTGCTATTTTGCATACAAACTTTGACACGTATTTCCACAGAGTAATCCAATGGCTTCCTAAGTCTACTCCTATACAGCAGAAAAGTTCTGAACTTTTACATATTTCAATCATTTTCATGTACAAGCACATATCCAAATATGATCACTTATAAAAATGATTTCTGATAATGTGGATAGTTGAATATGTTTTCAAATATAAATTTTCTGAATTTTGTTGTCTAGATTTTACAGCTTTACTTGTTGATATAATTGGAAACTCCACCAGTTATCTCACCGAAATTTTCAAATCTACTTCTATTCTCTCAGGTTTGCATTTCCTCTTAAACATTTGTCATTGTCTTATTTGTGTGATTTAGTTCTGACATGGAAACAAGCATAGAAATGCATATAAAAGTTTATTGCTCTTATTTGGCAGCATTTATGCTCTAAAGCATGACTGCAGCTGTAAAACAAAGTCTCCTTAGGGGAACAATCTATACATATATATAAAATTTAAAATATGTAGTATAGAGATGTATGTTTCTATGAACATATATGTTTTACTTGATAGTTTGATGAATTATTATTGAACACTGATATTTTAGGAAATTATGACCCTACGTGCTATATTTTTTGATTTTTTTTTTTCTTGTAAAAATGCTTGTATTAAGAATTTTAATTAAATTAAAAATTTATACTAGGAGAAACATTTCTCCTAGAAATGTTAGCATTTGGATTTGGTGCTGGATTAAGATTAAGATTTTGTCAAAGTCAAATCTGAATTAAAATATTTGACTAATTGTAGTAGCCACATAGCATTCTGGGTTTGTGTTTCACTGTTTAAGATAATATCATATAATGAAAACTGGTAACAATGACCTGGTTTACATTTTTTTTGCCTTTTAGTGCGTCAGAGCAATGATTCAGATTGTATCTACATTTGTGTGATGACAGGCCAAACAGGTAAATGAAAAAATCATTCTAGTTCAAAATATTGTCCTATTTACTTTCAATGATGACTTATACTAGAAACAAGTCTGTCTTCATATTTTTAATCATTTATATTTGCAGGGAGAAATCTGTCTGACTTTTGGGAAATATTGGAGAAGCCCCCTGTTATTAATTACACATTTTCCAGTAACACATCATCTGACCTGGGTAAGTACATCCTGGGGAATAAAAAGAAACAGCAACAACAGTGAAAACAATGCCCAGGTAGCACTTGCAATGAATGCTCCTTTTTCATCTTGTAAAAATAAGTAAAATTTAAAAACATTTAAATTATTGAATACGACATCTTCTACTGGAAGAGCAAACAAAAGCTCCTGGGATCAGAACTTTCATCGGATTCAGCACTGGGATGGGAAGGCTCTGTAATATTCTTGAACTAAATGGTTATCTCCCTTAGCTCTCAGCACAAGTAATCTGAATTTATGTGAGTATCCTTTGGAAAGGAGTCAGATATACTCAGACAGCGTGCTGCATGGCTTCTCCACCTGTAACTTCTTTGCCAGGTTGAGCTGACTGTAGATACTGACCTCTTATTGCTGCCAGTATTTCTCATTTTTAACAGTGGATTAAAACAGGAAGACATGGAAATCAGCGGCAAGTTCACCTGTGCTGAAAGCTGTAGGAAGCTTCTCACCTGTTTAAAAATAAATTTAAAATAATTAATAAATAAATAAATAAAAGACACTTTGCCAGTAACTTTATTTTAAAAATACATCAGTTCCTTTTGCACCAGAACCTAATTTATTTACTTTTTATTGTATGATATTCTATGAATGCTGAGTGCACTAACATTATCTTCTCTTACCTCAAAGATCTGGATTCAATGTTTTCAAGCTTCATGAAATTACAGGAAGACTCAAACAAAACCATGGATCCATCAGTAGAACACAAGTGGACATTTAAAAGTGAGTGAATATTGCCAGACCTTTATATTCTCCTTTATTAATGTCTCAACTAGTGATCTAGGAGTTCTCTAGGAGACAGAGAAGTAAAGAAAAAAATAACTGTCTGTTTTAAACCAATAAAAAGTTTTGTTGTTTTGTTTCTTCTTATTGGCATTTTTATGTACTTTATTTAATTAAAATCACTGAAATTAAAACAAAACAAAAAAAAAATGATTTTGATTTTAAATTGATAACATCTTTGATTTTATATGGCCCTCACTTATGAGTTACTGGTTGTTATTCCTGCCACAAAAATGTAATCAGTTCTCCAATTCCACTATCTGTGCTCTAGTACCTGCCTGCTTCCCTTCACATAGACAAGAGCTTTCATCTTTTCCTCTACAGTAAAAAAGCCTAGGAAATAAAAAATAATTTATGTGAAGAAAGGAAAAAAACAAACAAACAAACAAAACAAACAAAAAAAAAACACTCTGAAGGAACACTGGAACACCACACCACCACACTTTCTTTTTTGTTTATGAACACTCGGACATTGAAATGTGAGGCGGGAATTAGATGATTTTTTAAGGTCCCTTCCAATCCAAATCATTCTATAATTCTATGTCCTCAGTTAAAGGTTCCAACTTTATTGCTACTCCTCATGAACATATATTTCCTCCTGGAAATAAAAAAAAAATAAAAACCATAATTTTTAAAATGAAGTGAAAAATTGAATCTCAGCTGCCAGTGGAAGCACTTGAAGCATTTTAGGTAGTATTTTCCCCCAGCATGTTACGTTCTCTGCTGCCATGGGGCACCAGAAGGCACTTTTATGGTGCCTTCCCTCTGTCTCTCCTGCTTCTCCAGCTACCAGCACCCCTCTTGCCCTGAAAGGGGAGGACATTCCCACCACGAGGTCCCGACCATGGCCAAAAACAGTTGGTGCGAAGGGATCAGGGTTTCCATCGCTGCACTTGGATGCTTCAGGACCAAGAGGCACAGTTGGAACCCCTCCGGCTGCTGAGGAGATCTTGGCCCCATCATCAGCCTTTCAGACCAGCCCTGGTGAGCTCTGTACAGAGGACCAAAACCTACTTTACCCCATTAGCTCTGGAGTTTAGCCAAAAGCCCAACCCAAACCATGTTTCAGAGGTGGATGTTAGGAGGCCCTTCAGGGAGACCCACTCTTGGTCACTAGTGAGTAGATTTCTTTACTGTAGAGTTGCAAACATAGCGTAGAGGGACCATCCCGTAGTTCCTACTGTTTGGGGAAAAACACAGGTCCTGCTTCTCGTGGACAGATCTGCCACTCAATTCTTTGCTCACATTTTGCTCCAAATCCACTGAATAGACCTGGGCAGGGGTGGGGTAGGGAACACCAAAACTAAAACCGACCATAAAATAGAGCTGATTCTCTAGGTCTCTACTAAAAATATCTTCTTTAAATCCTCTTTCTTTAGCCCGTGTGCTTTCCAAGTTCTAATAAATACAGCTTCTGACCTTTCTTTTTCATCATGACATTTTTATAAGCCACTGCAAGTATTGGGTAAGGACCCTTGTCCGTTGAGCAGTCTCATACATAGCAGGATATTCTTCTCAATTGACAAATAACAAATTTCCTGAATGATGTGGTGTGTCTTTCTGTTCCCACAGGTGATATATATGCATATTGGATGCAGACCATGCCTCCTCAAGAAGCCAGCAAACAGATGCAAACAGAGCCAGGTGAGATTGATCTGGGAAAATAACAGTGTGTTGGTCAGCACATGCATGAAAATTAAAATAATAATAAATAAATAAATTAATAATAATAATAATAATAATATGTATAGAAACAGGAGAGTGTGAATGTATTTATGCATCAACATCTACAGAAGTGTGTATTAGTGGTCTGCAACTTCAGTATTTTTTTTTACTCTTCATCAAGCTTCCTTTTCTCCTTTTTTTTTTCGTTAGCATGTCACAGCATTTTATATTCTTCTTCCTCCTTCAGATTTGCTTTCCTCTGTACTGTCTACTCCACCCTACCGGCCTGGTGTGACAGTGAAACTTCACTCAATTACCCGTAAGTAGTAGTTGAGCATACAGCAAAAATAGTAGCCTGTTTGAAAGTATAACCATGTACACTTTTTCACATGCCGAAACAATGTGTATGTTTAATGTACTATATAGTATATTATATAGTATATTTTATGAATGTAAAACACACAAAACATCAAAGGGATTGCTTCCATATTTCTGAATCATACATGGTCTTACATTGAAAATACAAATTATATTATATTTAAATTGTGTAGTCTACATGTCAATTTTAATATGGATTGGCTATTGGGAAATCTTAAAATTCCTTTATTCCAAAAGAAATTGTCATGCTTTAAATCTTCCTGTTGGTACAAATAAAATGATTAAGTCAATCCCTTCCACATGCAATCTTCAGAATTACCTCAAATTTTTAATTCTGCAAAGTTCCTCTTTGGCTAAAGAAGGACAGTTATCAGTTAGATTTTCAGGAGAACTCAGTTCTTCCTTTTACGGAAGAACTTTTCCTTTTTCCTAAATTCCAAAACAATTGGAATTTAGGAGCTCAGTGTAGTAAATATATGATGATATGCCACTATACTTATAAGTGTCATCTAGTCATGTAGGCGATAAAAGTACATTTCTATGAAGGTATTTAGTAAGACGTTACATGTTTTGAAAAAGTGGACCTGATACAATTCCAGAAAGGGAATCTGCATTCTGGGAGAATCCATCCCCAACTTTGGATTCTGAGTATGTGAATGAGTCCAGGCTGCTCACTCCCAAATTTGCAAAGTAGAAGCATAGTACAGAAGTACAATGGGAATAAATCTTGGCTGCAAATCCCAATCAAAGTCTAAATCAGCAGTCACAGACCTGAAGAAAATTTCTGCTTGCTCCAACAATGCCAGGAGTGGTAGAATGGTAGAATATAAATTCTGAATTGGGTTTTCACGGGCTTATCACAGGGAAGAAATAATAACTCTTCCAGTGGACTAATGCCAACACCTTAGGGCAGGATTCTCCTGACAAGAGAAGTTGCGTGTATTTCAGCTCCTGATTAAGCACTGCACTCCCTGCTACCCTGCTAATTAATCATAGAATCATAGAATGCTAATGGCATTAAGGAATTAAATTAATGGAGTTTAGGAAGTAAATTAATAGAATTAAAGTAAATTTGAGGGATATGCTGGGGTACACGGTCCAGCTTTGGTATTCGCATAGAAAAGCACTTGAGCATTATTATGATTTCATATTGCTGCTGTATTTGGAGGGAAAATCCACACTGCCTGCACTTGGATCCAGACAAAATCTTCATACCTATATTCCAGACTGGGATTGTGATTATCTACTATTCAGCATAACATGATCTTTTTAGAGAAACGTGGTAGCTACCACTGAGGTCAGTTTGTAGCACATAATTCAGGATCAGTGTCCGCAGCTGAAAAGAAGACTAGAAAGGGAAGAAATGGTCCCCACTTTACCAGAATAAACATATGGCTCATTTCCAAGATTTTCTGGCATTAGGATTGTATTCTCAGCCTCTTGCACCCTAAATCCACCTATTTGGCTGCTCCGAGCTGTGATAGAGATACAAACAGATGGGATGCTCTGGGAAGAGGCTGTCTTTGGTCCCCACGGTGAAGTTGACTGTGTTGCTACCAGAGATGTGATTGTTCCTGGGAGAGGATGAGCAGGAACACGAGTCTTGCTTGGTTGTGAGGACTGCCAGAGGGGATTTTGGAAATCTGTTCCTTGCCTGCTCATGTTTCTGTGCAGTGACTGTCTAATGCCAAAAGCATAGATGCTGGATTGTGCAATGGTAATATATCAGACTAAATTGCAGGGGCTCTTCAGTAGCATTTAGTCTTGATATGATAGATAAAAACAGAAGAATTTTCTGTTTGTCCAAAGGACAAAAATGCCAATCAAATTATACTTTTAAGATGGTGTGTATGAACACACAGGAAATAGAAGAAGAAAAAAAAAGATGATCTGAGCAAATTAGGGCCAGCAAATTCAGAAGGTCAGTAGGCAAGGATGGAAAAAAAAAGAAGTGCTGATTATATGGCTTGTGATATTTTGATGGGGATGATGGAAAAATAAGCTGCACTGTCTGATATTGTTAAACAAAAATGTATGTCTTTGATATGAATTCCTAATAAGTCTGACCAAGAAAGCTGCTGCTGTCCTGTCAAAACAGAACAGGCAAAGTGAAAAACTGAGCATCAGCAGCAGGTGAAGGGACACTCTGCAGCCTTGTGGTCTCCTTCTGTGCTACTGGAACCAACCCAGAACATCAGAGATGCAGCTGGTTCTCCAGCTCCATGCAGGCAACCCTCAGGTCTTTGTTTGGGATTGCTTTGAGGCTTAAAGCCAAAGACTTTCATTGGATTGTCTGTTAATCTCACAGTTTGTAATGGTATTTTAAATACTGACTTCTGTCTGCTCATTGTTGTATTCTAACCCACCTTTATTTGTTTGCAAAGGATTATTGTGAGGGGATAAGCATAATTGTGTCAGACAAGAAAAGTCCTGTTGTAGATCTTCAGTTTGCTGTTACTGGGAATAATCACATAATAGGAGAGAAGTAACATATCTTTGGTGTTGTCTGCTTTTTACCTTGGTTTTGATGTCATTGCCTGTTGCAGCAACCCAAGAATAGCATCCTCTGCTGTTAATTTTTGTAGCTTTTACTGATTCTGATCAGGTTTTTCATAGTTTTGGTTGGCTGAATTTACTAGCAGAAGTTGGTTTGTTTGTTTTTTTCTTTTTCTTTCTTTTTTTTTCTTCTTTTTTTTTTCTTTTTTTTTTTCCTTCTTTTTTTTTTTTCTTTTCAATCATGCTATTAGGAAAAGAAAGCATTTGAGAGCGTAGGACTCAGTGGGACATCCATTCTTGGAGGAAATAATGTTATTGATGTTATTGTAGTTAATTAAAAATAATGATTATGAATACAAAGGATTTTGAGAACAGCATCAAATGACCAAACACAGTGGGGGAAGACCTGCAAGAAAGGCAGTGGCAAAGAGGATGGAGAGGAATCTGTTGCCTGGGAGGCTTGGAAAAACTTCAGTAAAACACTGTCTACTGAGATTTATTTCTAAGGAGAGGACTTGGTGGTGGTGAGACAAGAAACAGTTCTTGATGTTAAGAGGCCTTTCAAACCATTCTGTTAAGGAGCTAGTTATCCTTTCAACTTTTTATTTTTTTTTTAATTATTGATATTTCTTTCTTTTCACTTCTGTTTAAAGAGTTTTTGTTTAAAGCATCCTCATCTTAACCCCCATGAAATACATTGTATGAAGAAAATGAACCAGTATAATATCATGAATATAATTTGATTTCTTTACACTCTTGATGGTGTAAAGGGAAGAATTTAAGATGAACTATGTCTTCTTATCTTAATAGGGATCAGATGAATATGCTATGGTAATTCTTGTCCACCGAGACATAACTCTGCACACACACACAGAAAACAGCGTTGCTGGAGTCTGTGAGTGGATTTGTGGTGTGTGCTGTCCAGAATTTGTTAATCTGCAATGTACTGTCTAGTGGGCAGCACTATAAACCCTATAAAACCTAAAACTGGGAACCAGACCTTTTTGAAAAGGTTGCAATCAGTGAATGCAGAGTCACAAAACTCCTGTCTGTCAGAAACCATGGCAGAGGCTATATAGCTGCATATATAAATCATGGCATTTTGAGAAGAAAAAAAAATAAAATCAAACAGTGGGGTCACACAGCAGTGAAGAGCAGCCACAGTACTCTGAAGACGAAGACATTATTCCATGAAGCCATTTCTTAAATCACAAAAGTGGATCTATTCATTTACTTGTTTATTTATTGCATGCCAACTGATAAAATATGTGAGTGTGTATTATAGCATGCAGAGAGGGATATTGTAAGCCTGAATTATTCACGGTAACCACGATATTGCTTTTCACTGACGGCAAAATTTAATCTCAGTGTCAAAGAGAGGTGATATTTGGTTCCTAGTGGAAAAGGCTCTTTAGTGCAGCAAGAACTGGTCACTTATCTACCTGCAACAGTAGTGTAGTAATTTCAAAAGGGCAAGAGCAAAGCTCTGCATAGGAAACTGGTTTTTGTGCTTTCTTGTCTGTATTGACTAACCCATTATCTTAGAAAATAAAAATATTAGAAAGGAAACTTTTAAGATAAATTCCTGCATATAAATCTTTTTGCTTCAATCTGAATTTTTAGGAATTAAAAAAAAAAAAAGTAGAAATTTATTACAGTGAGATAAAAAATGACTATGAAGCACTGAAAATATTGATTTCAATGCTGTCATGTAAGTGTAGTATCCAATACACGTAAAATTAAATCTAATATTAATTGAAAAAGAATTTCAACTTTAAATGCAATACTATGTAAATACATCATTTTAAAATGAAATTATTGTTAGAAATGAAAACCAGAGCAATTTGTTTAACTTTCAACTTTTTTATTTGACTTCTTTTCCCTACATAAATGAGTCCACATTGAAATTGCAGTCATTCAATTTACATTTAGATAGAGCTGAATTTCTGCTGGCAAAATGCACAGCTTGAGCAAAGCACTAACACCTGTTCGATGGAATAGTGAGTACCTACCTTGGTGGAGATGTTGAGATTCATTGGAGGGTGGCTTTTAGGAAGTTTTAATTATTCCAAGCAACTCTAACATCCCTTTTAATGGATATCTTACGCGAAAAACTCATCACTGCAAGCTCTGATGTTCAGTTATTAACATGAAGGTTGTTTGTTAAAACAAGACATCGGTCATTTTTAATTGCCAGTAAGTGGAAAAAATCAAGACATGTCAAGATGTGTCAAGTGCTAGCGATCATGCAAAACTGCTGAGATTGAGGGAAATGGGGCTCCTTCTTGCCCGTCACTGACTAATTACAACGCATTGTCTGTGACACACAGCCAGTGGTCCTCTTTCAGAGGGGACCAAGAGCGTGAGAGCTGCAAGGTCTGCCCATTACTCCTCCATGATTTCTGCTACCTCGGGCAAGCTCTGGCAGAAGACAAATTGTTTCGTAGCAATCTCTTTCAGCTTGGCAGTGCCTCTATTTTCCTTCTGCCCACGGATGCCATTTTATATTAAACTTCTTGTCAGCACTAGACAACTCAGTCTTATTTCAACAGAACTTCATTAGTCCAAATTTAACCTCCGTAACCTCTCCTATCGCATAACATAAGATGGCCCAAAGCTATAAAGTATGTGAGACATGTGAACCTGGAAATGCAATTACACTGTCTAAGGGGATTATGCTCTGCAGGTAAGACAGTTTATCTAGGCATGTGGCCAAAGCCTGCTGCTGGTTTCACAAATGGAAAAGCCAGCCAGCAATCCCACAGCTGCTGCCTTTGCTCCCCACATTTGGGCTCTTCCACCCCAGTGGGTGGAAGGGAGAAGGACACCCAGGTCATGCAAAATGTGGCTTCTCCTGTCATGGTCCCTGGTTATCTTCTTCCAGTTCCAGTGGTGTTTGCAGGGATGTCCCTCAGTTTTTGGAACTCTGGCACAGGGTCAGCACCTTTGGAAGGCTTGCTGCACACAGGGGGCAGCACGATCTGCACACCACAGTGACCCAAGTGTGCCTCCCCACAGCACCTCCTCTGCAAGAGTGACAATATTTAATTCACAAAGGAGAGTTGATTCCACACACATTTCAGCCACTTCCTAGCCTTTTAGCACAGTTTAAATGACACATTAATTTTTCCTTGAAAGCCCTTTGATTTTTACCTACCATAACACAACTGTTAACTAAGTTAATGTAACTAACAGCAAAGACTCAAGATGATGTGTGGCAGAGTATGGCTTCAAGAAAACAAGATTATAGCTAATGTTATATTTTCTCTTAATATGGTAAAGAAAAACACTGAAAAAAAATATAAGAAAGCAGCTTCAGTTTTGCATTACCCTTTCTAAGTTTCCCTCATTTTCACCTTGCTTTGTTTTCTCTTTTATATAATTGAAAGGGAGGCTGAAAGGAGATTGTATTTCACATTGGGGAAAAAAAGAAAAAAAAGAAAGAAAAAAAAAACACATAGCAATTCTTATAACCTGCCATCACCTATTCTGTTATATTACATTATCTGCAGCCTGGCACAGGTGCATTTTCTGGTGGGGTGAACTGTTTGGTGTACAAATGTTTCTCTCTCACTGCTGACTGCAGAAGATTCAATGAACAGAATAAACTAGATATTTTCCTTTTAGTGGATTTCAGAGAGGGGAGAGGGAGTCCATCCCTCACTACACAATTTTCCTGCATTTTTCTTAAGTTAAATTAATATAATCATGGTCACTTGTAGGAAAACCAAACAAACAAAAACAAACATAGATTAACCAACTGGCAGCTGACCAAGAGTAAAATAGAGAAATGATTCAATACAGGCAAAAATTGACCTTTTCTCCTCCAGTTTCTTGGTAGTTTTCAAGAAACCTGTAGGAAACTATTTATCCAGAGGATTTTTAATTTTCTCTAAAAAGTTATCTGAAATTAGATGATGATTCAAGTTACTGGAAGCAAGAGGGGGAAAATGGCAGACAAATATAGAAATAGACAGAAAGAAAGCCATAACCTCCATATAAATCATGTTTATTTTGTTAATTAGGCTGAAAAGGAGATGAAAAGAACAGTGAAAGACTGACTGCTTATTATCGCCGTTGTATTTAGCCTAAGATTCAGACTTAGAGGGTGTGTGTATTAAAGAGTATGGCAATGGAAATGGGTATTGCATTAAAGTATCATATCCATATAGAAAATATCAAATATAATAAGTATATGGTGCTGTCCATCTCACTGCATTGTGCTGTGGAAAACTGATGCTTCCATGGCAACTGAACCTCCACCTAAAGAGGTAACAATAAATAAATTACATCTTTAGAGTTGTTCCTTATATTTGTGATAAATAAAAGCAACATGGACTTTAATAACTAGAAATGATAAATAATAAATTGAAAAGAACATCTGTGCTATCAGTCTAACAACTGCCAGACTGTGTGGCTTTCTATTCAGTTATCTGCCGCACTCAACTCGATTTTAAGATACCTATGTGAGCTCTTTAATCTGCATATGTCCCTTAGCCCAGATAAGTAATTGTAGGAAATTTTATGGGATAAATTTATGAATTATTTCACAGTTGTGTTTTTCCTAGGGTGTCCACAAGCGATCTTCAAAGAGTCCCGTGTGACTTCGCCTCCTGTCACAGTCATAGTGCAGAAGATCAATCCTTGTGTGATGGAGCTGTGCAGGTTTTTCCAGCTGTGCCTCTGTGTTGGTCGAAGAAAATATTTCAGAAAGGAAGCCATGAGGTAAAATCTGACAGCAGTTTCACTTGCTTCTGTCTTCTTAAAATAATCCTTCATGCTTTTGCAAAAAAATGACAATTTTTCAGTCGCCAGTACTTACTTTTAAGTCTGTGGCTACTGGCTGAGTCCCATGTGGGCCCCCAGGGCACTGATCTGGCCTCCAATTGTCAGACTAGGTTAATGTTGCTCAGCCAAATTTTTCCAAGTATCTAATGGCATAGGTGAGGTCAGAATCTCTCTGTTACTATGTTCAAAGTGCAATATTAGCAGCATGACGTGCATTCAGCTATGCTTATGTCAGATAGCAGGACAGTACTCTCCTAACTTTACTTCTTTAGGTACTGTGTTGAATACTATTCCTGGTTCTTGAAAAATGCAAGTTATGTCTGTGAACGAGTCAAAAGAGTTGCTTATTCCCACAGTAAGTATGTTTTCTATCTAAACCTCTACATACCTTAAGAATATATAACAGAGTATTTGCTGACTTTCTTCAGATAGCTATTTCTCCTGATGAAGATTTTTTAAGGTATTAAAAAGAGATTTATTGAACCATGTATAGTGTTATTATTCTCCTTGTAAAACCTGTTCTGACTGCAATTTTCCTTTGTTCTTCCAGCATTAAAACAGAAATGCCTTAAAAACATCTGTAAATCAGTTTAGAGCACTGAAGAATTTCACTGGAATTCAGATGATCGGTGGCAGTTTTAGTAGTCTCTTTCATTTCTCAGTGTAAGAAAAATCAGATTGTGATATGTTATTTACAAATATTTGTAACAAGACAAGTTATTAATTGGATGTTAACCTAGGAATCTGTCTTCCTCGAAGCAATGTAAAAATGATGTGTAAAAACAGATGCATTTTATACAAGTGTTGTAACTGCAATAAAAACATTGGAAGGCTTTTTAAAATTTTATTTTATAAAGGACTCTTATATGGTTGGTTAGTGCATGTAATTAGTTTCCTCTAGTACAATTTAAAATTAACACAAAGTTATCAAAATGAGCAAATATAAGATACTTTTAAAACAAGTTGAAATATTAAAGACAACATTTTTATTTTTTATTTTTTCCTGGGGGCTAAACCCATGCAGACTGTCCATGATTCTGAATCAAGATACCCCCACTACTTCAGCAACTCATCTCGTGCAGAGCTCAACCAAGGAAATGTTCACACCTCTGGTACCTTCACTCACTCTGTGACACATTTGTGTGAGCTCAGCAAGAATCATGACTTTTCTTCCTTAATTGCACCTCTGGTAAACTAAAATACAATTATTAAAAAAAAAAAAAAAAAAAAAAAAAGAATAGTCAAACAAGGCACAGTCCTGTATTTTGCTTCACTGCAGCAATATGATTCCTCAGTCAGCCTAAAGTACATAATCAAGTCATTACAACATCCAACAAAAGAGGAATATTTGCAGTACAGCTGATATGCATTGATGTTTCACTGAAATTTGTGTTCAAAGTAATATAATGTGTAAGAGAAAGGTGGCACCATAGGGAATGCTGACCCCAGAGAAAGATAGTTCTTTCCCCAAAAAAAGGTTAATTTATTGTGCCCAATGGCACAAAGGAAGCATTAATCTTTCATTCGTATCAAAGCGCAGGACAGACTGGAGTAGCATCAATTGCAGTTGATATTGCAATGTAGGCCAGTGAAAGAAATAGGCATGAAGATATAGTGGATGTGTAAATTGGAGGGAGTGTTAAATATGGCCATGATACTGCAAAGCTGCACCACAGCACCTCTCCTCACCCAAGGCAAGATCAATTCTGTTGTGAAGGGCTGGGTGACAACAACTTTGTGCAACAGCTGCTTTTCAAACCCACAAAAACATTGTAAAGTCTGAAGACATGATAAAAAAGTAAATCTATATTGCTTCTTACAGTCATTATCATCATTACGTTTCCTGAGAATTGAGGAAGAAGGACATGCAAGGATGAACATAAGGTGGGGGAGGAAGAATGATTTTGTTTGACTTCCTGGTTTTCAATAATTGAAAGAAATATATTTTTGTCAAAATCTTCCCTTTGAGAAGATTTTTTTTTAATTATTATTATTTTAATGTTTTTGAGTTGTAGCAACGGTCTCCATGCTACAGGAGGCTTTTGTGTCCAGAAATCACTGGCTTCTGCATTTTTGCTGCAGGAATAATGTGAGTCCTAGGGCAGAGTGCTAACTAACCTCTGTGTGGTACAACAAGTGCCATGTCTGGCACTGCATGTAGGTCACATCTGTCTCCAATTTAAGGTCCTAGAAAGGGTTAGGAACTACTGCCTGAATGTGTTCATGGGGAGAGAATTAGTGAATGCCATGTAGTTAAAGGTGTCTTGTGAAAAGATCTAAAGGCACGTGTCCTGAGTGACAGACTTCTTGTCACAGTTGCTTAAGACTCACTGCTTGGCTTGCCCAAGAGAATAATGAAAATTAATGGGGAAAAAAAAAAAGAAAAAAAAAAGAAAGAACAAAAAAAACTACTAAATATCTAAATATGAAAAGGAATAAAATACAAGACTCTGTTTAAAACAAAAACAAACAAACAAACAAACAAACAAAAAACACAACGTGTTTCCATATTCCAGGGTTTTCATTCCTGCAACGCCTCAATGCCTTGCCAGAAGTTCATAAAAGATGATGGCATTCATCATCATTCATCAGAAATTCAAAGGACTTGTGTTTACTATTATGCCCACTTGAACCCACTCTGATTTGTCAGGTTGAAATTTTTCATCAAGACAGTAAAAATGCACTACAGGAAACCCCTGAGGTAGCTGAGGACTCCAGCTGGAAACATCAAAACTCATGGAGGTTGTAGGAAATCTATTTTCATATAATTCTGGTATAATCTCTGCCATATTTTCGTCTTGTCTAAAGTTCCTTGATAGAGCTGGTCACAGAGCTGGTATGACTGGACCAAGAAATATTTGTCCTTCTCCTGGCAAGATGTCAGTACTGAACCAATACAGACAAGTGTAGTTCACTGGATCTTGGAAGAGCCAAACCTTTTCTTCATGTAGATATTGTTATAGTTCTTTTGCCAGTCTTTTCTCTTCGTTATGGTAAAGTTCAGTGGAGAGTTGGCCTAAAGTGCCTTAAATGAAGTTAAGAGTGCTGTGGCATCCTAATTTGCTGACCATGTGACCTCTTGTCCAAGTTATGTCTTGGGAGGATCAGGATGAGATATTGATATTTCTGGGAGACCTTGTTGACACTGCTTTCTGCTACAGCACTTTGGGAAAATTTTGTCTAGACTGCGTCTCTGAAAGGGCTTTGAGCAAGCCTTGGGGAGGGCCTTGGGTGAGTACTGAAGGTGTGCATCTCACAGAGAGTGTGTGATGGGATATCTGCAGTGACAAACTAGAACCATCCATGTCCACTGGGACCTAAGTCTTCTCATCAGCTTCAACTTCAGCCACCTGCTGAAGTTCAGGACAGATGAAGTAGCTTTCACCAAAAACACATCTCTGGAAAAAACAACAACAACAAAAAACACCTTTGCTAAGGTATTTTTGAAAGGTAGCTGTGTCTGACCCTGGCAGAAAGCACACCTTCCTGAGGAGGAAAAGCCAATGAGCCACAGCTCATTGATTCAGCTTTCCCCTGGATTTCACTCAGCTTTGGATCAGAGCCACAGTGGATAGACAAGAGCAGACTTCTCAACCTCGAGGAATGCCAGTGTTTAAAGCTGTATAAATTTTCACTCATCTTTCACCACTGAACACTACCTCTTGCTAAGGCACATTCACATGCCCCAGAGATTTTGTGATTAATAACAGTGGAATGATTGTTATTTAATTACAGCCACAGAGTATTAGGGCAAGTTACTATACGGTGAATGCACCTGCAGAAAAGACCTCTCAGTATAGATCCTTTACATGGCTGGAGCTATATTACTAAAATACTCTGTGGGCATAATGACTCTTAGGAACTTCATGGAAGGATTAATTAATAAATGTTGAAGTGGGTTTGAAAAAGGAAGTGATCACATGGGTGAGGTATATATCCAAGCGGGTATAAATCACTTAGTACTGACTTTGCTGAAATCCATTTGTCTTTCATCCAACTGCTTTCGAATAATATCCCTCAAGGTAAGCTTTTCTAGATGTACTCTATAATACAGAAATTAGGAGGAAAATGTAGAGAAAAAAAAAAAGTTATTCAGCACTCTGGAGTACAGGTAAGACTGAAGTGAAGGTAAGAGATTTCAGACAGCAAATTATAAATATTTAGAGCTGTTAGATTTATAACCTCGTATCCTGATTAAATATTACAAGATTTTTAAATAAAAATGAATGCAATATTTGACTTTATACTTGACAAACCAGAAATCAACAGTAGGTACATATTTGAAAACTGATAAATAATTGTTCGTTTATTTGGTTATAAAAAACCTCCATGCCTGACTTAGAAAATTATTCTAATTTGGGGATGAACTGTAAGTGTAGTTCAAAACCAATTTTCTGTCATTTAATGAATACTGGTGCAAAGCTTTTGGCTTCAGAAGAATTTCTTACTTACATTTCTAAAAGGACAAGCATACCCAGATTTTGAAGATCTTCAAGCAATATAGAATTTGTGATTAGTAAAATATATGATGCATTTGATCAGTCTCAACACAGATCAGAGCAAATGTGTGACTACAAAGTGGGAGTGATTTCCATGACGTGAAACAAACTAATATGCAGGAGTACAAATTAACTGGGTTCAATAGAATCAATTCCAGAATTTTTGTTCATTTATAAGAAGTTTGAACATTCTGTTAGATAAAGTAAGGTATGAAAACTGTTTGCAAAACAAAAGATACTTCAAGAACACCATTTTTTTGCTCTATGGACTTGCTCTGTCCATGGAACTTTTGAGGAGCCTGATGACTAACTTATATCAATACCCAAATAGATATTGTTATTCAGGTTTATAAAGAGTGTTGATAAAATGTGGAGCATACGTAAGACTAATCTTTGCTGCAATATGAACACTTCCTATGATAAGGATAAAAAACATATTGCATCAAGCAGAAATGTGTCCAGATTATAAAAGAATAATTTTCTAATTTAATGTCTTCCTACTCTCAGATTCAAGAAATAACATTCTGCCTAATATTTTATTTAACTCATCAGGCACATCAGTCTTCTGTGTGATTTTTTTCTTATCTTTGGATTAAACCAAAAATGATTGCAATTCTTCTGGTGTCTATGTCAATGGTGTTGCACAGTGGTAAGTCACCATTCACTCTTTATGATTACTTGGCATTTATTCCTAAATACTGTTTTATGTGCACATAGAAATAGAACTCTAGAAACACACCTTCTACCCCTTCAAACCTTGTTGTTCAACATTCAAATGCACTGAAATAAGTGTAATTATGGAGTAGCTGTACATTTTTTTTTTCTCAGAACTTGTTGTAAAGCAAGAAACATTTAGTAGGGTTAAAATATTTAAACAAAAAATTGCAACTTCCCTTCTGCTAGCATTTGGTCATGATCTAAGTCCTTTAGACTGAAAAAAATAAAAATTAAGTGGGTCCTGAAATATTACTCATGCTCAGCTAAAGCTCCTCCTTGAAATTTTACTTTGATTTTTTAATTTAATTTAATTTAATTTTTCTTCATATAACTCTTCAGATTTTGCTGTCATGAAGTGAATGAGCTTCTAAGTGATCTAGTGAAAGGGATGGAAATGAGAAAACATTTCAAATTTCTGCAATCCCTGCATTTGTGTGGGAATGTCATTATAATTAGCAGTGTGCAGGTGAAGAAAAGGGTTCATAGAAGGTCTAACACCATTTCTGGTTGTTCTGTGGGGTTACTTCTGAAGTGAAAAGAAAGCCCAGCACCTTTGCACACACAAAATTCCACAATGACCTACCTCACCTTCTCTCATTGCCTCTCTTCTAAGGTGTCACATGCATTACAACACAGTAAAGAAACTGTTCTAACACAAAATGCATGGAGAAATTATGCTATTGAAAACAAGTCTTAAGAATCCTGCTGTATGAATAGAAATCAATAACAGTTTCAGCATTTTCCCACTACAAAGATAGGGAATGCCAAAATGCAAGCACCATTTTTTTACAGGAGAAAAAATAATAAAAGTAAATAAATAAGAAGAAAGAAGGGATATTTAGTCTCAAAGAAGGGATTTTAGTCTCCAGATGTAAATGTGACTACATATATTGATAATATCTAGTCTGAATATCTATATATGTCTATAGTGAATATCTACTTCACTCAGAAATATCTGGGCACCAAAAATTTTCCTGACATAGTGTTTGAAAGACATTTTTGCTCAAAGCCTCAAAAAACTGTGCCACAGTTGTTAGATGTGTTTCATCCAGCTAAGCAGTCTAAGCACAAAGCTTTGAATTGTTACCCTAGACCATTTGTGGGTTTGGAAAGGGTTCTTGATTTATACTTATGTGGGATCCATTCTACAAATCTCTATGTTGAGATTGAAACAAATATCTGTGCATGAATTGGTATCTTTGTGAGGAGCTAATGTGATTTACCTTGAATAAATCAAATAGGTTGGGTTTGCTGCACCCTTATTTTTCCTAGCACAATCAATGTTTCTGCTCCCCAAGTGTTATAATGAATGCATCCATGCCCTATATTTTGACATTTTAATTAAACATGACTGCAAGAACAACTGGAGGCACACTGATATTTTTATTTATTTATTTATTTATTTTTCTATGGGCTTTGTTTGTATAACACTTCTGAAAAGCATTGTCAGAGTATCAACATCACAGACACAGTCCAGAATCTATTTTTACATGCATTTGAATGATGAACAAAACTCCGTGGCTAATGCATACAACCGGAAAGCCCAAGGGCTGATGTATCACACAAGTCTTTTCAGGACATTTGCCAAGTCATTTAGCAGGTTGAACAGAAAGGTGAGAGAAGCTGACCTCCCCAGGGTGCTCTGTGATTTAAAAGATTTATTTCTGTACTGCAATCTTTCACTGACTATACAAGGAACAAGGTGGGAACATGAGCCCCAAAAGACATGATAGAAAAAGAAGAAAAGAGCGTGATTAATGCAGAAGGTATTTTCTCATTGTCCCTACCCCAAAATTTAAACAAAATTAAACAATCTTGTTAGCAAACATTGATTCATTGATCTTGACTCACTGACAATCAGAAATACCATTCTTAGTAACAAAAGGATTAGAAAAACTAAAAGTTTACCAAGCAGCTGACCCTGTGGTAGGAATTTTTCTCAAGGGGAATGTCAGAGACTTATGAGTTAATTTGGTGTGTGCAAATTAAGTTTGCTGAGAAGAATTACATGCAAATGGTGGATGCTGGAAGAATGACATCTTCCAGCAGCTCTGTAATGTGCCTTTATTAATCCTCTTCACTGCCTCTTTTCAAGTCTATGGAGTTTTCATGCTTTCCAAAACTTTGCTGAAAGGCCTAGATGATCAATGGCTACACATCAACAATGAGTTCGAGCTATGGAGATAGACAGTGTTTCAAAACCTGGCTCTAGATACATTTGACAGACCATGGCTTTGGGCAAGGATGTTTGTGAATGTAGAGGAAGTACAGGTTTTAAACCCCAAAATAAGTGGCAGCTTTTCTTTAGCAAGCATGGCTTAATGTGTACACATATCTATAGCACTAAATGCTGTTTCTCTTGGTAGGCACATCATTATTTTGCTCGAGTCTGATTGTCTTGTGGCTGTCAAGCATTCAATAGACTTGTTCCAGTACTGTAATACCAGCCTTTATCGAGAGGCTTTTTCTGGTCTGTGGAAAGCAGTCTCTTCCTCTCCATCCTGTTGCAACGAGGGACGTTTCTGGTTGTTTGCTGTTCATCTAAAAGCTTTTTATTGGGGCTAAGGCTTTCAGGAAAACAATAACATAAAAGGAAAAACGTCTTCCTATTCTGCCACCAAACTTGACAAATGTAGTGCTGGAGGTATACTGACAATGTCTGGGGACATCTTGATCACTCCGCAAGTTGTAGTGAACTTGAGATTCCTGAGAAGATCTATTTATATAGTCTTAAAAAATAATAAAAATAAAAATCTTAATCCTTTGCTAAACTTCAAATCAAGGATTATCTAAAAAAAAATAAATAAAAAAATTACTCATTTTCCTCCTCATTCTCTTACACCTATATTTATTGCAGGAAAATACAACAGAATAACAAAGTAACTGTCAGCTTTTTCCCAGAGTCTTTCACAGAAAAAATGGACAGAGTTACTAATGCCAGTTATTCTGAGAGATAACCTATGCCATGATTTTAAAATCATTTTTTTTTTAATTCAGTCTTTAGATACTTGAGCCAATAAATACCCTCGAGTTTTCATCTGTTAATAATAATAATAATAATAAAATAATAATAACGTTAAGTTTAAATCAATTCAAAGTAACACATTCTCTCCTAAAAGTGTACAGAAAATAAGAACAAGGACAATATGTGGGACAGGCAAGAAAGAGTACTATATTTTATCCTAATTCAAGGTATTATAAAAAAAAAAAAAAAAACCTGCAGAAAATATACTGTGGCATCTTCAAATGTGAAAAACAAACAAACAAACAAACAAAAAATATTGACTTAATATGAAGAAACTGCAGGCAGTAAGTTCTCCACAAAATCAGTCTGAGAAGCTTCCGCTTTTACATGAGAAGGTCTCTCTTTTCTATGTTTGTACCATTTAGCAAACATCATCTTGGTGGGAAAAATTGTTGACCTGACCTGTTAGCTAAATGAAGAGCAAAGGCTTGAAATAGTTGGAGATGTATCTAGACAGTAAACCCTTATGCACCTTGGTGAAACAGCAAAGTGAAACATCACGTGGAGAAGCACTTAATATGTCTAATACAAAAGCTGTCTCGCTATCTATAGAATAATTGCCTGGGAGATGCAGTTAATGCTACAGAGAAGGTAAATCAGCTGCTGCTTCTCTCCATAACCCAGGACTGATTCCACCCAAGCTCCATCCACCAGGCTTTGAGTGCTTCCCCTGAACTTCCTGAATCTTCCCATCTCTACTGGAAGATTTCTAGAGGCATGCAGGAAACACAGCTGTGGAGGTGTCTGTGCAAACCTCTTGACTTCCAACAGCTGAAGAGCACAGGGTTACAAAGTAGAAACATCTGGAACAATGCATGTAGTTGGACAACTAAAGCAGTTTTATACAATTATAATAATAATTTCTAGCAGGTGTTATTGTTCAGAAGAGCACAGGAATGTGAGGTTTAGCACACCACAGTTTAACAGAGGCTGATTTTTAAGTTGAAGCCAATGTGACTTACAGGTATGCTTCTGGACTCCCCAGGGTATACATGGAGCCAAGAAAGTGTTTCATTGTTTTTCTATATCAGCTTGTTGGTGTAGGAAGATATTCAAAATGCATGCAGTGTATGTGTCATAATGAAGTATGTTATTGTGTTTTCAATTTTAAAATCTTTTTTCTTCTCAAATTTGTTTGCCGAGGTAGGTGGCCAAGAATTGGAGCCACCGATATTTCTGCCAGAGCTTCTTAACACACCTGAAAGAATCTTGAGTAAGAATGTTTTAAGCTTTATTTTCTATAGTATTGCACTGCAGTGGGGAATAACTCTTGCCCCAGAACATTGCAGGGTAGCATGCAGTTAGCAAATGGATAGTAACTCTTATCTCAAAGTGTTTTGACAACAGAAGCAAGGTCAGGGGTGTTCTGGGGGCCATTCTTGTCACCTACTTTTTTAAAAAATATATATATTTTTTCATTTAGATAATGCCACATTACTGAATGGAGTCTTTCAAAATGTGGAAAGCGTTGCATTATTTTTTGGTAAGTATATGTTCCAGTTGTACTCCAGCTGTGGAGTTTGCTTTTATATATACTGAAAAGGGATAGGGATTTTTGAGGCTGTAGATTTCTCCACAGACTGTAATAATACTGAAAACTGCTGAATATCAAGCACTGTTTGATGCCCCCATTTAGTGCCTTGTTTAGGCTCTGCTTCATGCTCCCACCACCCAGGTGTGTCCCAGGCCTGGCTCACCTCTGTGCATCAGGCATTTATGGCTGCTCTCTTTCCAGACTGCCTGGGTTCTCACTTCACCTGGCTACAGTCCATCTTCACTAACTTCCCTGCCCTGCTCAACTTCGTGAACAAAATGAAGTGTGTTAGTGGCTTTTGTCCCAGGGACTTTGAAGACTACGGCTGCTCTTGCCGGTTTGAGATGGAAGGGCTCCCCGTGGATGAAGCTGATGAGTAAGTCTTATGCATGTCAGATATCCTGAAGCATAACACCTGCCTATATGATTTAAGGGTTTCACCACACTTCAATGTGGAGACACACTTCCTAGAAATAAAAACATCCTCCCACACCTGCATATAATTTCACCGGTGGCACAGCTGTCTTAAACTGGTGGTGAAGAATGGCCACTCCTGTAATAAAGTAAGGATCAAACCCAACTTCTTGGTATCTCTTACCCACGTGTCTCTAAATTCTGAGCATATCTTTATGAACAAAACATCATTTGTTTCTTTGTGCTGGGGAACTCAATCTCACCCTGAAATCACACTGTGGTGCCAAAACTTGGAGGGCCTGTTAATAAGACAAGTGGGATTATGTAAATCTGAGCTTCTCAGTGGGTTTACAGCCTTACCAAAGTGCTGTTATTGGGAGCAGGGTAATACATCAGCAGTGTAAGCACACATAGACTTTAATGGAAATGTTAGCATCTGGGGGATATAAAGCATCAACAGAACCAGGTTACAGCTAAGTGTGACTTCAAGTGGCAGATAAGAAGTTAAGTAAACCTTGCCCTGATTGTCTGTGCCAAAGGTATGAGACACTGAAGCATCTGGGCACAGAGAAGAGCAATGTAGCTCAAAAGCTCTTCCAGGTACCATGCACTAGTAACAAAACCATCCAAACCCCAGTTTGTGCTTTGAAGATATACTGCTCCAGACCCTGGCTGGGCTAGTGAGAAAAAAAAACATAACATCAGGTAAAATAGCCAAGAAAATCAAATGGCTATACACTTTTACCAGCAGGAGTTAGGAAAATAAATTAAAAGAAAATTGAGATACATCTACGTCTAAATAGAGAAAAAAAAAAAGGCATTTACAGCAATGCAATAAAATAATTTCCTGAGTGAAGACACCAATGGCTATTGCCTATAGCTAGATGGAAATTAGTCCATCCACTTTCCAGCATGGGATGGCTGGGAAAATGCAGATCTAACCCTGCTATTGAAAAAAATAAATAAAAAAAAAAAACACAATGACATTCTGAAATGAGAGCTCGAGGCAACTCAATGGATTGATACCTGAAGAGCTGAGCACCTGGGCTTTTGCTTCACTCAGCTCTATTTCAATGCAGAGCAGCACCAGTACAAAAAGAGCACAGAGGTGTTAGCCGTCCCTCAGTGAGCTTTCCCTAGCTGCATGGCAACCCCACTGCAGTTTGCAGCAAATGTAGACTGATGATTCTTTTGCCACTGGCACAGATACGGTCTCTTGGTTCAAGACACCCTCCCAAAAGTGGTTACTACTTATATTTCTGAGAAGTGAAAAGAGAACTGGTGAGGATCTTGTTTTGTTTGAACTTTCATTGCTACTCACAGCTAAAGTGGCCATGCAGGTATTTGGGGTTTGCCTGACAGTAGTTGTGTAGGACAAGGTGAGGTTTCTAGCTGCCTGTGTAGTATAGCGGTAGGAGAAAGCTGCTTCACTATGCTGTAAGAAACACATTGAGGCCCCTTCTCATGGCTAAATGGTTTATTTTAATTCTAATTGTTGCATTGAGGAGAAAGAACAAGAAAGAGAGGATAACACCCCACCCATTTATATAGCCCCAATGAGACACAGTGATTCACAAGGCACTGCAGAGACCTTTACCTCTGAGTGCTGGGTCCTGCGTAGTTCTCCAAATCCGCAGTGAGAAACTTTGTGCCAGAGCTGGAGACAGGACCTCCAGAGCCAAGCTGTGGGGCTCTGTCTGGCAGTGTGCTGTCAGCAGATATTTGGGCATTGGCATTGGATTTGTTACTGAAACTGCTTCTAGCGTCTTTGTGGGACCTCAAGTACTGTAGCAGTAAAATGCAAGCGTGGTGTCCCACAGCCTGCAGACCTGCTCCCACCACTGAGTTTTGTATTTGTAATCCCACCAGACTGATTTGGGGAAAAGCAGTACTCAGCCTTTCTTTATCCTAGGGACCACTGCTGATCTTGGAGGCTGACCTTGAATGGGAAGGAAAATAAATTGTCTGAACTTTGTGTTGTTTCACTCTTTAAGATGCTGTTTCCAGCACCGCAAATGCTACGAGGAAGCAATGGAGATGGAGTGCACGTGGGACCCATCAAAAATTTCTACAGATGTCAGCTGCTCTACTGAAAACCTGACCTGTGGTAAGGTTACCTTGTCACAAAAGCATGATACTAGAGTCGCGCTGTGGCTGAGAAGCTCACTCTGGTCCATCTACCAAAAAACACATATAAATTAAGCAGAAAACATCTCTGTGGATTCTTGAGGGATTAAGTGTTCTGCTCAGGGATTTATCAGGACTCCTCTAACAGGCAGCCTCCTAATGAGGTTTCCAGGCTCCATTGCAGGACCATGGAGCATTGCTTGAGATATCTCCACACATCGGGAATGGAGATGATACTGAGGAACGACCTGAAAAGCAGTGCTCCTTCTGAAGTTTTGTCCACAGGGTCACATACACTCCTCAGGCACAACAGCATAAACAGCAAGGGCAGAGACCGCACTGTTGTGAAAGGAGCTACTCCATGCATTACTAGTAAAATCTCAGTGAGTGTAGAGTGTCCCTAATCATTTTAATATAATTTTTCACCTAGTATTAGCACTCAGGAAAGACTATATTCTAGAACAGGATTTGAGGTTACCAGCAAAAAAGAGCAGAATCACAAAACCAAGATCTTCACAGCTTGTTTAAATAATGATCTGATCCAATTTACACTTCTTGTTCCAAATTAAAACCATTTTTGTTTTCTGAACCAGTCTATAAATACCCAAGCACATTTAAACATCAGTAGTGTTTCTTCTAGCTCTTTCTATGCTTAATAATCAGAAAACATTTTGTTCAAACTAAAAAAAAAAAAAAAAAAAAAAAAAAAAAGGAAGAAAAAAGAAAGTGACTAAATGAATAGTCCCTGTCAAAAATGTGAAAGATGTGAGAACCCTCTGAAAGATCAATGTTTTCTGAAGCTCTGAAAGGTAGAAGGCTTTGAAGTAGGAAAACAGTATTTTTCAGGAAACTCTTTCATAGCCTTTATAAGGAGCAAAACACATTTTATATGAAAGACTTCGCCTGAGGACTGTGAAGTCCTGGGGTTAGGCAGACTATTTTAATGAAGTCTGTGAAATGTCAAACTCGGTATCAGCTGGCTTAAGTTTTCCATGGAAAAATTAGATGCAGCAAAGCCCTGCTCTGCGCTCCTTGCTGCTCTGTAGTAGGAGCTGCTCCAGTGCTCTGTGCCAGCCGTGCAGGCTACACAGAGCCGTGTTTCAAAACCAAACTACAAAACGTGAACGTGTTTAACGTGAAGAATCACAGTATAAATAGGTATGCGCTAATGAATATGGACACAAGCCTTACAGGGAGGAAAAACAGGTGGAGGGAAAAGATATCTCAATAGCGCCTTGTTTGGATTGTTGTTTTGTTTCCAGAAACTGGGGATCCCTGTGAACAGTTCCTCTGCACATGCGACAAAGATGCCATTGAGTGTTTTGCGAGCACCCATATTAACTCTTCCTTGAATGGGCTGGATGTCTCCCTCTGTCCATCTCTGGTTACAGGTAACAATCAGGATCTGACCGACTGCTCCCTCCTGCCAGCTTCTCCGCTGGCATCGGGTTTGACCGAAGGTGAAGGAAGCAGTAGCTGGGTGGTTTCCTGCACTAAATCTGGCGGTCTGTCCTGTTCTCCATTTCATGTGCCCTTTCCATTTACTGATACTCAAATTAATGTAAGAAGAGAAAAAGAAGGCTAATTGCCATACTGGAGCAAGGCCAGAAGGGGGCTGGAGAATCTGATGGAAGAGGAGAAGGCTCAGGGGGGGTCTTATTGCTCTCCTCCACTACCAAGTGGAAGTGTGCAGAGGTGAAGGAGATAAACTCATTTTGGAGGTGCACATGGACAGGACAAGAGGCAAGGGTCACAACCGCAAAAGGGAAAGTCCAATTAGACATGAGCATTTCTTTATTTTTTTTCAGGAGGCTCCTGCCAATCTGGCTGTTGGGTACTACTTAGGGTTATAGCAACCTGCTGAGGTCACCAGCAGGAATGTGAAACTGACAGTATTGCTAGCTAGATCTCCCCTTAAAGCATGCAAAAAGTAACTAGAAGGGAAAAAAAAATAATAGACCCAGTCTGCTCTGTTACTTGTTTTCCGTTATGGAAGGAAAAATCCCCTATAAAGGTGAAGGGGATATTTATCTCCATTGTCATACACTGACCTGTGCTCTGTAGCTGAAATTACAACCTGGTAAGACTGAATACCCGGCCTGTGGGAACAGAGCTGGATTAAAAACTTAATTCATATGGATTGCAACCAGAGCATGGTGGGGGGAGGACCTTCAGACACCCAAGCTGAGCCAGATACGAAAAAGCTCTGCTAGTTTTTCTCATCCCTTTGTTTATATTTGTCAATGTTAAGGACAGCTATACATGTTTATGGCTCTGCATGTGTGCATCCCTGAGTAAAGAGGTCAAGGGAGAAGAAAATGCCACAGCAAAGTTTGTATTGATGCCGGAAAATTGCTTTGTGTAAGCCAGTAATCTTTCACTGGGATCAGATGACTCTAATATAAAATATGGCAGCTCCAACATGTTACAAATAAAAGAGAAATTGTCAAGTGTTAACAGGAAAATCATGCTACTCTTGCTGATAAAGACAGATGACATCTTATTTCACTGAATATCTCTGCTAATTTTAGGCTCCTGATTTTAATTCTTACTGGAAAAAATAAATCCTTTGAATGAAACATTTTTATTTAGTGTTTGCTCATATTATTATCTTTCTGTGTCTGTTCTGTCCAGCTCAGGCTTTGTTAAAAAAAAAAAAAAAAAAAAAGGCAAAACTTCCAGGAAAATATTGATTCTTTATTACAGAGAAAATTTGAATGAGATAGGGATATATTTGCCTAAACCTTTACTTTAATAGGAATAAATCCGGTGAACTCCTGTTTTGTTGTACTATTGAGATAAAATGTTGACAAAGCCCTTTCTTACACTTTAGTCTCTAAGAGCTTTCTCCTTTTCAGAAACAACTAGCAAGAGAGAGCTGACAACACTTCACATGGAGGGTATGTCCCCACCTCTTTAACTCTATGACTGGAGTATATTAAATCAAGATGAATGTATACATTGAGAAAAATAAATCGAGTATTTAGGAAGCCATGCTTCAGTAAGATTCTTAGCCAAGTGCCTGGATTAAAACATTTTTCATGTATAAATATTTAATTCTTATCCTCATATCTTCACAACAGGACACATATTTAAGCATTTGCTGAAATGAGAATGTAAAGAATGCTCACTGCTGATCGGTTTTCTGGTTTAGATTAAAACTGTGATAGAGACTGAGGGCTTTTTCTAATTGTAATGTACTTGTTTGAGTAGGATTTGTTATCAGCAGTCAATAGATAGTAAGGAAGTATTTTAATAGTTACTTTAACAATAATTCGATTCATACCTGTTATATTTGTATCATAAATATAGCCCTATGAAAAGTACAATCATAATAATATTTGGAAATAAGTTTCATTCTGCTGACTCTGACCATGTTACACCAAGTTCCTGTCTAACAGGCATCCTAAGCCACAATTCTCTTTGCAGTAAGAATACTTTTATTTTTGCAGAGCTCCCTCATCACAGGACTGACAAAACACTGGCTGCAACAGCATCCGTAGAAGAAGGTTTGCAACTAACAGTGCAAGAAGCACTGCTTTCAGCTTCCAAAAGCTGGAAGAACAAAACAGAAGAACAGGCTGATTGTTTTCTTACAGCCCTTCTAGATGATCGGATATAAAAGTAGACACAATGTTTTGGTGACCCAATTCAGGACTGAATGAGAAGGTGCAATTTTTCAGTTTGTGTGCTCAACATGCTTAACTGGTGTTTACACGAAGTTTACCTAGGGCTGAGACTGAGAACTCTGTGGCAAAACCTGCTTTCATCAGAACAGACCTTTATTCCCTGGGAAGAGAACTTGCAGCAGGGAGGCTGCCTGGCAGTGCTGTGCTGTGTGGCTGCCAACCGCTGCACCCACAGCCAGTTGCATACTCCTTGTCTTGAAAGAGTTTAATCATACAAAATGAAGCAGTAGCTATGCGCAGTATTTGCACATCTGCACCAATCTTCCCCCAAACCAATCACTCGTGCTCTCTGAACTGGCATAGTTCATCATAAAGCTCGATATATTGCTCAGGGATAAAAGCCTGTAATAGAAATTTTAGAAAGCTGAACTTATAACACAGATAACATATCTAGTCAGACTGCAAAGGAAATATTTGGAGAACCATTTCCATTTAACTACTTGTGCCCCCATTTTAAACCATAGGAGCTTCAACATTGCTGTGTGAACCGTATTAAGCCGAAGCTAAATACTCTGCAGAAATGCATTCAAAGGCAAAGACCTACTTCCTTATATCACAACATACTAAAACACACACACAAAAAAGATGCAGAGATTAATTTTTTTTTTTGATTACCTGATAGCTCTGTTTATAATTTATCAAAAATAAGCTGGTATATAAAAATCAGCATATGAGGTAAACAAATAAATCAGAGGTTAAGGAAGGATCTGGGTTTGTAGCTGCCCATCCATTTTTGATTTACAATGCAGTCAAACACAAGGTGTTCACAAGGAGCATGCATCTGTTCTGTGCACAACAATAGGATTTTACACTTAATTCTCTCCAGTGTAGTCTGTCAGATGGATTTAATAAGGAATTTTCTGCTTCATTCATATTTATGTTGCTTCTTTGAAAGCACATTATTCAAAGGTACAATGAGCTTATTTTATGAGTATCACTTTGTCTGTAACGATCAATGCACTGCAGACAAGACCAGGCAAATCTCCATAAATGAAATGCTGGGGGTCTTTCCTTCTCTGCTGAAAAATCTCTTCTCATCAGCTTGATTTTTCATAAGTCTGTGCTGGCAACTTCTCTGAGTTTACATTTTCTGTCCTCAGCAGTGGTTTCTTTTGAGCCCAAGGAGATGGTCCTGGGGACTTTCAATGTGGAAGGTAAGAGTCTGCTTATACTTTTGTTGATAAATTGGGCACTCCTGGCTCCAGGTGATAACAGGTTTTGGTTTATTAGGCTTTATTGTTGTCATAGGCAAAAATCTGCACCTCAGGATTTCTGGATAATACCTCTAGTTCTTCTGCTGACCTGAATATTCTTGAGCAAACTACTTTGTTTCTCCTAGTTACCCTCTTTATAAAGAAAGGTTAATAATGATATTTGGTTAAAGTATATAACATTCTCACTAAAAATCACTCAGGAAACACACTGCAGAGATGCAGCAGGTATCATCCCACTACCACGATGCCTCTGCTTTTTGTCTAGTTATCACAAAGAACCCCAGAGGTACTGCTCCTGCTCCTCCTGTCCCCTTGCTGAAAGGTCAGCGACTCTGAGCTGTTCTTTTCCTTTGACTGGCATAGCAGTACTATACCTGAAGCATCACAGTTCAAAATTACACATGGTGAGGACAGGGCTGCTGGAGAAGAAAATTTAGATTGGGGTCAGGTGGCAGAAACACAGTCAGTAAAATCACACTGAGAAGTATTTGCTGTTCATTGCCTCCAGCCACTTGCTTGCACTCCTCATGCAAGTACTTGCAAAACCTCTTCATGTAATATATTTTCTGATACAATGGTTGATCCTTTAAATTACATTCCTAGCATTTGCTGCCTGAAGGGTTCATTTTGATTTTACCTCCTCCTTTAATACATAGAATTTCATGGAACTCTTTCCAGGTCTAACAGCTTTTACACCTTTTACAGTTATTATTGCTATAAGCACACTCATGCCATTAGCTACAGCTAAAAGTGGAGAACCATGTCTTGGAGGTTTTCAATGGCCCATTTACGTGGAAATGATCATTCAGAAAGAAGTAAATACACCAGAAAATGTCAAATGACATTGAATATGGTGGGAAAGAAGGAGATGCTTTTTGACTCAGATTGCACTCTCTGGAAAACACCCATGTCCTCCTTCCTAGACCAGAAAAATGGCATTGCTGTACTGAGTGCTGCTCAGAATCACTGAGCTTGAACATATCTGAATATGCATGTCTTGTGTTGCAGGTCTGCATGGCTACTAGAAGGTTATCTGTAATGTCTGTTCTTGGCAAAGTGCAGAATATCCCAAATTCTGGTTATATTATCTACATTTAGCAGGAATCACTTTCATTTTAATACATCACTGTCAAACAAAGCGTCACGAAATGAGCACCTTGCTGAGCCATCAGGACCAGCATGTTGCTATTGATCCCTTCCTGCATCCTTTCATGGGCTTCCCTGTGTTCTTAGCGGTATTTTCACCCTTTTTTTTCCATTCTCTGATCCTCAGACAGTTAATTTTCAATGTGTACTAAAAACAGAACTTCAGAGGGATAAAATTAATGAATTTGAGTTGAATTCAATTAATTAGTTAAGCTGGGGTATGTAAAAGGAAGGGCTTTCAAATTGTGTAAACTATACACATAGTCACTTTGAAAATGAACTATTTTGTATGTGAAATAACATGTTCTTTGTATTAACATTTAGAAAAAAAATGAAACAAGTTGATTTCCATTTGAAAATAGAGTTTTCATTTACAAATTAGCTTATATTAATAGTGAAATTTTAAAAAGAAGAAGAAAAAAAGATAAATAACACCCCAATTCAACAAAACATTCCTGGTCAATGCTACAGCTTAAAATAATCTAAAAATAAAGACCAATGTAACTTACAGGATAAAGAACCTCCCTAAAATTATTCTGCTATTTAACCTCAAATTATTTTCCCCTTAATATCTCCTTACAGTTACAAAGCAGTAAATCCTGCATTTGCCCAGCTCTGCATCAGTCAAATCATTTTCTACCTTCACTAATAATGCTATTAGTTTTGGTACCCTTGTATGAACTGACACTATATATTTTTTTAGGCTGTTTACTCAGAAATGGCATCTCATGTTATCTCACTTGCACTTCTTTTCTCAGTATGGCTGACTAATCAGCAACCCATTTTTTTTTCCTAATAACTGGCATAGCTCTTTACCACAGTATGCAACATATAAAATTTACAAAACCACGAACAAATAATAATAATAATAAAATATAATAATAATAATAATAACAACAACAAACTTAACTAACTAAAAAGTAACCAATCTCTTAACCAACCAATCTCTTCCTGCCCAGTCTAGCAGTTACCTTGGTCATATTTAACAAGCACAACTTTTTTTCTGAAAGGCAAGATATGTGAAGAAGTGATCAGTGTCGATACTCTTCGCTTTTCTAATCTTCATCTTGATTATTTTTTTCTCTATGACCATCAGTTCACAGCACACTTGCCCCAGGATATTACCCTGACCTGCTATCTGAAATGGAAATCTGAGTGTTTATTGCTCCATGCTTCTGCTTTTCTCTTTCTGCTTATTCAGGAAAGGACAGATTTTCAGAAGCTGTAGTCCCTGTGGGAGTGAGAACCACCTCCCCAGCCTCCTCCCCAGCAGATGTTAACTCGGTGGAAGTCAAAATTGTCCCTACTGAGAATATTCCTGCAGGCACATCTACACGGATGAAAGGAAAAGGCAAGTACAGGCTGCACTGCATCTGCACTAACATAATTTACACCGTTCTGTTCAGAGCTTCCTGAAGAACCAGCATTTCTCACCGACTCATAATTTTCTCCCTAAAGCTGGTTAGATTACAAAGGATACAGGGTGTTCAACAGGGAAAGAAGGACACAGGGTGTTCAACACTGAAAGGGGCAGTTCACTCTCTAACAGTGACCAGGAAAATTTTATTAACCATCAATAGTCTTCAGTCTATTAATTAAGCAAATGTTGGAAGAATACTAATTGATTATGGCTTAGAACATGCACTTCTGGTCACATTACTTGTAGAAGTTTATTCTAGATTTGCAAGTCTAATCTTTATATGTCTAACCTGGGCACGTGTAATCTCCAGAGACAAGCCCTGCAAGAGGTGTCCAGGGCACAGCTCCCACTGGGGTAGCTCTGGACCTGGCACCATCTGACAGGGGACCCAATGGACCCGAAGGAAAAGGTAAATTAAGATTATTTTTTTTCAGTTACATCTAATGAAAAATGTACCTTTATTTCAAAAAGTAGGATTGTATTACACTTAAAGATTATAGTTATTCTGAACCAGTCAGACATGTGCATATGGACATGTACCATGAAGGAATTGTTGCACATCTTTGTTTGAATATACTCTTAATGCTACATGGATGACATTTCAGATAAAAATTTGAAAGGTTAGGACAAAACTTGTTTCTTTCAGCACAATTTAGTCACTGCCCAGCTATCACTGTGGAGTGATATAGAGTCATTAGGACTCTGTTTTCTGAATTAGCTAAGAGAGAAGCTACTGAATTCTCATTTCTCTCAGCTGGGCTTGAATGTTCTGGAAGTAATATTTAAATATGAAAGATTACAAAGGGTTGCAAACTACCCTCATTGCAACCCATTTTGACTTGTATTTTATATCTGTGTAGGGAATCTCTCTTTCCATTAAATATTTCCCCCCATTTCTCTTGCTGACTTGCTCAGTGGTATTATAAAAGGCATAGGTTGCGGATTGAAGCACTGATTTTGAAATAATATTACATTGTCTTAAAAAATAAAAATAAATGAAAATAATTGATGGTTCCCAAAATACTTTTATCATCAGAAGAGAGCCCTCAACTTTTGAAAACATGGTATGTGAAATAACATCTTCTTGCTTTATAGTATGCGAACGATTAACCTTTCTGCAAGACAGAGGAAATGGAAGAGTGAAGAGGGAGCTGCCGCAGCTAGGAGAAATGCTGTTCTGTTTAACTGAGCGGTGCCCAGAGGAATTTGAGTCTTATGGTTGCTACTGTGGACAAGATGGCAGAGGTTATCCTACTGATGCCCTGGACAGGTGTGGGCTCTTCTCTAACCTGCGGTTAGCTTCGGGCATTATGGACCAATGAAGATCAGTGTGCCTTTTGCCATCAGTTAATTTACAAATTAACCTTCTCCTTAGGTGAAATTCATAATAGTTGGGAGCCACATGGGGTCTAAGTATAGTGTACAGCACACAAAATTTTCCTGAACTTGCACACAAATAAAACTACCCACACATGATAAAGTAGGCTAGATCAAGGCTAGTGAAGGCTCTGGTCATCTTGCAGTTTTCATTCAGCCAACAGCATTTGAACACTTCAAGACCATGCTAATGGAGCATTGGGACACAGTTGCAATTTCTATTTTAAATCTTGAAATTAAACTAACAAACAAAACTGCAACACCTTTAAGCACTTGATACCAAATGAATTAGGAAGGTGGTTGTAAAGTGCAGATGTTATTATTTTCTTCTTCATGGAATTTTTTTTCCATGATATGGAAACTGTAATTTCTTAGTTTTAATGGTCATTGAAAATAAATAGATAAAGTAATTAGGAATGCACTGTGATTGATGCAGGAAAATGAAATATTGTCCAGTTACATCTACTGTTTATTTTAGGTGCTGCTTCTCTCATCACTGTTGTATGGAACAAGTTAAGAAACTTGGATGCCATGCAGAAAGAACCTCAAGATCTGAAGTTGTATGTTTTGATCACACGCCAAAATGTAAGTTTGGGTTAGAGGATGTTTGCTGTTTTCTGATGACACTGTATCAAAGTATTACAGACTGAGTATCACCATACCTGTGATGTGCTAGCTCTGAGTAGGAAGACAGAATAAAATGGCTCACAACATTTCGTTAATGTTTAGTCCAAAGCTGAAGTATTGAGGTAAAGGCTACTACATCACTGTGCAAGATGTGATCAGGTCAGGATGAGAGAATTGCATTTGTATTTTTTGACTGATGACAAAGGACACCTGTTGGTGTCTTTACATTCACAAATTCAGCAAAAGCCAGTCACAGCTTCAGCTGCTCCGACCTCACTGTTGGGCATATTTAGACGATTAAAAGTGAATTTGAAAATTTTATTTCAAAGCTCATCGACCTGTGACAAATTACACGTTGACTAATTGTAACTGCTTTTGAATATTAATTTTGAAATTTCTCTTTCAGGTATTGGTTGGAGCCTGTGTGAGAAACTCCTATGTGCTTGTGACAAGACGGCAGCCGAGTGCATGGCTTCTGCCTTCTTCAATGAAAGCCTTAAGTTTCCACAAGGGCAAGTGTGCCAAGAGGAGAAAATCTCATGCCGAAGTGGCCCTTACGAAAGGCCTCCAATCGGCACAGAAATGGGTGCTGGGATTTTCAGCTCTGAGGAGAGCAGCGAGGAGGAAGGTCCCCTGTGGAGCACGTTCAGGAGAGCAAAGAGAGACACGGGGCATCCTTTTGGAGAGCCCAGGACTGGGCAACACGAAGGCAGATAACCAAGCACAGCCACTTGCTTGAGAAATGGCACAGGGAATTTCACAGCCAGCCCTTACTCTTATCACTCTGCATGCAGTTTTACATTTTCCAGCATGCTAATGGCATAATCATAGGCTAGGTTTTTAAAGCTAAGATGTATTCTCCTTTCCATAGTGAAGTCATCACTATGATCCATCTATGTAGAGCAGCTGTTACCTTAAATAACTGTTTGATGGCATTCTGCATCACTTTATTTGATTTCCGATCAAAGCTCTGATTTTTGTTAACTGTGTAGTTGGTTCAGACTGGATCTTACTGATGGTGGCTAAATATTTCAAATTTTTAATTAAATCAATTTGCAACTACTCCAACTCCTTTTGCATTCTTCCTTTAGCAAGCAAAGCAGGAATCTAAGGTAATCACATTAAAATGTATTGCTTCTTCCCTAACTGAAATTTTCACCCCAGAGTTTCTGCTGGTCTGCTAGATCACAGCAATAAAAGGTATATTCTGTGCCCCAGCTCTGGGTACCAAGCACAGTTATCTCCAGTTTTGAGAGATTTCAGGATGTTAAAGGTTCTACTTTCTGGGAACAACTAACGCTAGTGTATAGTATCTAATGCAAAACTAGAGTAAAAAAAGAGCAACAATAGAATAAAAAAGCTAGTCGTACCTAATACAAAATTGAGACCCATTTTGCCTTGGAACTAGGAAGGCTTCTAACAATTTTCATACTTCAATTCTCTTAACTAAAGTAGGCCTTTATTATTGACTGAAAAGAAATATGAAAAAGCTAATCAGGAAGCAACTTCATGTTTTAATAAAAATTAAAAGCTTTCCCAATTTCCCTCCCTCTATAACCTTCCCCCAGAACAAAAGATGACCACTAACATTTCTTCAAACAAAACCAGTTCCTACAAACTGCCTGGTGATTCAGTTGTTCTGAAAAGTCTAAGGCTCTTGTCTATAATCCTGCTTTAAGAAGTCTAATTTTGTAATAAAAGTATTCATTACAGATCAATGACTGTAACCCAATGCTGGAGATAGAAATGCTGTCCATGTTCCTCCCTACCATGAAGTACTTAATTGACCACATCATTTTGGTCTCCTTTTGCAAGTCAGCACTATGATAACAGGTGAAAATGCAACTGAATGCTCTTGAGCAAGTAGTCAACACTACAAACCTCTGGTTAGTCGTGATTTCAGTATTTTTCCTGCATTAAAAACTGGAAAGGATTAGAGCAGTGCTCATCCATTTTTGTGCAGTGCTGAGGATGCAATTTGCACCAAGCTGATACATTTACTCAATCCAGAATCGGAACTTCTGAGTTATCAGCCTTTTATCATACTGATGGGAAACTATTTTTGTATTTCAGAGCATTTAGAAGTAAAAATGATAATTAAAAGGTCAGATGGCTAATTACCTGAAATGGGAAAAATTGGCCTTTAAACAAGTGAATTAAGTGCATCACTACTTTACAAAATTACAGTCTCATTTCTCTGATTGATGAAAAAAGTGCTGCTGCTCTGAAGCCTGCATTTAAAATACACACTTAAGAGAAAAAAAAATAAAAAATCCCTTACAGCTAATTATTAGAAACTAGGATTACATTCATGGTTATACAATCAACACAAGCATTTATTCACTGAAATATGTCATTTTTTTAAATTTCAGAGATAGAGATGGATCATTTGAATCAATCAAGTAACAAAGATTACATTATAAATATGCTGTTATTTAGGTGATGTTGTAATTAACTGCTGTGGGAGTTTTTTTTCCAGTATCTCATTTCAGGAAAAAATAACTTTGAAATTGTTCTATAATTGCTACCATAAAAATTGTGTTGATAAAGAGTAAGTCTAGCTATGATTAGCTATATTCATTCTCAGAGATCAGCTCCAAAAATAAAAATAAATAAATGGAACAAAATGAGGGAGAAATCTATCATAGGTTTTTTCTTCCCTCATTCTCACTGTAACTTTACACTACAGTTTTAAAAGATTTGGGACATACTTGGCCAAAACTAAATTGCATCCACAAAGCAAACAACTAATTATTATGTGCTCATTTAAAAAGATTATTTACTTCATTAGATACCAATTTACTTATTTTTAAGCATATAGTCTTTGTCCGTAACCTGCTACAGAAACAAAGACTTAGGAAATTGATTTTATGAAAAATTTGAAATAATTTAGGAAGACTTTCACACTTCTTTGGAAAATCTGAAAGACAATACTATTCAGGTGTATCTCCACTCCAGGGTATCTCCAACACAATGTTATTAAAATTAGGAAGAACGAATGAGTTAAGTCTTTCATATAAAGGCAAAAATCTCTTTTTGCTTAGATTACAGACAAACTCCTTCAAAACCCAGAAGGTAGCCCATTACAAGTCTTGGTTTTGTGTTACAGCTGCAGAGTGTTAAATGGGGCTGACACTTTTTTCCCCTTGACTGGTCTGATGTGGTACAATGACAGAATCTCGCCTTTACATCTTCTCTTTAGATATGATTTAAAAACAAACAAATGAACAACAACAACAAAAAAAACCACCACCACCACCACCAAAGAATTCAGAACCTTCCACGTGTAGTTAATGTTTTTTCCCTGGATTTTTTTGAGGTATCAAGCATCAAAATCCTGCTCTGACTGACCTGAGCAAGAAAAAAGCTTGACCATGCATCTTAATAGAAGGTTCTGAGATCCACAATAAGCCATAATGACAAACAGAAAGAACAAGCCTACCCTATTAACATTTTATAAATATATTCCAAATTTTAATGACTGCAAAAATGAAGAACAGAGGAATAAATTTAAAAAAAATATATATATAATCCTGTCTATATCTAAGATATATCTTACATGAACAAGAGAAGGTCCCAACTTCCTCAAAGTAAAATAACAGGAAAGTAAATTCTTCTTGTAAGTAAGAGAAGGCTACAAAAACAGAAGGTAACAAACAGAAACTCAAACCTATTAGATGGCATCATGGTTTGTAAAATGGTACCTGTGGGGAGAATACAGATCTTCAAAAACTCTTGCATCATTCCTTGAAATGGACATCATGATACCTCAGAGAGACAGCCCTGAAAAAGCATGACTTTTCTTGGAGCTTATTTGTCATAGGGAACTGATTTTTGAATTATTGCTTTCTCAAATTTTGGTGGTTTTTGCAGTAGTAATAGTTCAAAAGTAAATATAAGTAGTAGTTTAACAATGCTGTAGATGTAAAATGCTGTTTACATTTGCAGAAAAACAGGTATGTAAAATGAAGTTTAGATTAAATGCAAAACAAAATTTAAGTTTTAACTGAAAATACTAAAAATCAGATGATAACTTCGAGAAGATTTATTTTAAATTTTGGTTTATTTTATTGCTTAAATATAGATTGCACAGTGTGTTCTTACATTTATTGAACTGGTTCATTACATACAGTACAGAATATATGACCATCAGAACAACAGAGAAATTAGCCCTACTCTGATTTTGGACAACAGCCTATTTCTATTTTTTGAAATTAACAAGGAATTCATTTACTTCAAAAGTGACCCACTACCAAAAGCCGTAATTTTTCAAAATGACACCATGGGAAAGAACTCAAGGCAAAAGCTGTAATACATTTGAACTGGATACCAATGTATAAACACTGTGACACTACTCAATGTGTTGCAGATAATACAGGGCCGGTAGAGGTTCAGAGAAAAGAGGTTCTAAGTTCTGCAACTTGTGTCAAGAACATAAAGAGGTAAGTGAAACAAAGCAACATCGTTGTAAAACAGCACTCTTAATTCATTTGGTTTCATTCATCATCATCGTATTAAAATAGCTTTCAAAACAATACATTTTACAGTGACTTCCATCTTCCAGCTGTCTAAAATGGCCAGAGTGAACCAGTTATCAACTTACAGACTCCCTGAATTCCCAGAAAGGAAGAAATTAAATATCATGTGATCACAGAGTGTTACAAGCTCTTCAGTCCCTGCACAATACCTGCACAACACCTGCATTTCCCAAACAAATCTAGATTGAACATTGAAAACATGGAAACCTATGATTTGCATAAATGATACTTCATAAACAGAACAGAAAATGAAATGCTGAATTCAGTTATTTTCACATGCAGCATTCATGCAACAGAATTCAATCACTGAAACAATCCAGTATTTACAGCACAGTCTGCATACTGCAAGAGTGCAAACAGAAGTACATTCTTTATTTCTGATTCTTTAGACTCTGTTTTTTGTACAAAAGTGCACAGTGTTATTCTTAAAAATGACAGAGTGGATAAGTGTTTTACATTGTAACTCTAGGTTAGATTTACTCTTTAAAAAATTACACTCTTTATATAGGCCAAAAAACTATTACATTTTACCGTAAAAAAAAAAAAAAAAGTGAAAACTAAAAGCTAGAGTGACAACGAGTCCTAATTATGTGTAGACTGTGGTCTGATCAGGCTGATACGCTGCAGCAGTAAAAATCACAACGGAATGCTGTAGATAAGGGGCTGTTTCGTCATCCACTAACAGCTGTGATTTCACTGTTAAACTGAAAAGAAGGTCTCAATTACCTTTTGAGTTTTGCGAATGCTTTCTGAAAGTATCAGCATGTTATCTCATAGGTTTAAGTAGCTGAAATTTCGCTGTTGTCACATTTGAGAGTAGTCTAGTGGAATGCGTACTGTACTACAGTTCAAAAACTTACATGTCTGTTTTACAGTAGGTTTCAAATGCCCCAAACAGTCAGCAAATTAGCTGGCCTACTTGACAAAAAATAACCATTCAGCTCGTAGACTTATGCAATCATAGATTAATTTAGATCGGGACTTCTGAAGGTCATCTAATCAAGCCCCGGCTCAAAGCAGGACTAAGTAAAGTTAGATCACTTAGTTGGTGGCCTGATCATCATTTATATAAATGCTGGCTACTTCAAATGTCTGACATTTGAGACTGTTTGTTCATGTTTGTGTTGCTTCAGATTCAGATAGACTAAGAGACTTCCAGCTTGCGATTCACAGCATCAACTATTCCTGCATTTTCTTTTTACCTGCAGAATTTAGTGAGTCAAAGACAGCCTTGACAATTATCATTAAAAGCTCACTGATTTACTGTATCAGTTTTATTTACATTTGAATAGTATGCTCAGATACATAAACCTATGAAAGTCAGCACATTTTCCTTATATCTAGAAAGATCTGAGAAACGAAACAAAACCAGACAAACAGATACATCTCTAAAAAAAATGCTTTTGCTTGAAAACACATGTAACAAATTCCTGGTCTTTAAACGGTTTCATCCATTTTTCTTTCAATTTCTAAAATATCATTAAAAAAGCTGTAATAAATGACAAAGAAACATCCCATAGAATA